AAATCACTGAGCATTTTGTATCTCTGTTGTTATCACACGATGGAATGTATATTCTTTAGTGATTGAAGGGCGATTGTTGTTGGATATTACTCACCCTCTTCATGTTGTTTTGAACAAAGAATTTTCGAAGATTGAAATTGTTCTTAGGCAGAAGAGATGGCAGAGAGCAGAAACGATTTAAATGAGTGCATTCAGATGACTGACTGGGATGCATCAACGGTGGTTGCCGCAAACGTGTCATCCACCAGCACCCAGAACGGAAACAATCCATCGGTCGAAGAGCTCAAAGAAGCACTGGAGATGGTCACTGAAAAGACTGAAGAGTGTGAGGAATTACGAAGACAAAAATGCGAAATTGAGAAAGAGGTTAAAATTTGATGTTGTGCTGATTTGCTGTACGCATTCACCGTGTATTCTTATGAATATTGAACGCAGAGAATGAAGAATCAAGATGTAGCTGTTGTATTTCATTGAATTTACGTTGTGTTTTGGTGGTGATTAGTGCGAATATTAATGCTGATATTATCAACAATAATGTTAAGGTCGTGAATAGTGGTAAAGACATGTGTTCTTGACGTTTTTTTCTCTGATATTTACGTATGATGAGTGCTTAATAACGAATTTCAGTTCGAGTTACGTCAAACGTATATTGAGGAATTGATGGCTCAAACAAATGCGCTACAGTTACAGCAACAGACTCAAGCAGATGCCTTCAGTGAAATGCGCGAGCGAGTTCGTAATTCTGATTGATAACTTGAATCCATTCATCGTCTTGTTTCTTCCATACGACTGCAAATTTGTGCACTTGTAAATTCACAATTGAATTGCGATATCCATCCAGCGAATGCATATTTTAGCTTTTAATTTATAGGCAAATAAAATCGATTGCGAAAAGTTGGAGATGGAAAGAAATCTGATACAAGTGAGAGAACAATTAGAAGAATCAACACGCAAGATGGATGAGCTGAAAGATGAAAATATGAAGGTGCTGGAAAGTTTGTGATTGACATCTTTCATTCTGGCATGTTAGCGATCTGCATCCGAAATTTTGATCAATTTTAAGCTGGCAAGTCTTTTGAAAAAATCTGAATCAGTATCACATTCACATGACGAAGAAAAATTAGCCGAAATCGACGAGCTGAAGAAGCGTTTGGCCGACAACGAGAAGCATTATCAAGATGAACTAAGCACTCAAAAATACCAGGTAATTTTTCTAGGAATCTCCATCGGATTTTAACATAGTCCTATCAAGAATTCAACATAGGTTTAGTCTGATTTGGTGGTTTGTGGTAGTTTCCGAAACTTGGATCGCATACAGATAGGTATATCTTCAACGAAGAGA